TATAGCGTGCGCGAAGCGTCACTTTACCACATCAGTTTCGTTTCCCACGAATCCGAGCCATTTCGGACATTTCTGGGATTTTACCGCACGGCACGGATTTTGGAGCAATCGGATGTTTTCGGAGATATTTCCCACGCTTTGAATTTTGACTTTTATCAATTCTGACGGTCATGTCAGTGAATGTATTTGTGTTGTTTTACGAAAATGTACCCAAAAACTCAAAAAAAAATCACTCGTTTATTAAAAACTCGTGAGTCAAATGCCGTTTACCGCACTTGTTGCATAATATACTATTAAGCAGTATCGTAAATTGTGGAGAGAGAGAGATTTCAGGGTTCGTCTATCACACAAGGTGCGCAAGATACTTGGAAAAATCTAATCGTAAATCGCTATCATGTATACAAATTTTTATAATTATCAAAGATTGCCGTGACTTTGAAGTTCGGAGATACGTGAAATACGCTTTATTCAGGGTGCATGCACAATTAAGTTACATCGATTTTGCGAAAGTTGCAGAGGTCCATCTTATTGTGAATTTACGAACACACGGATGTATTAAACTAAAATAACTTTAGTAATAATGAATACACTGATTTTTAAATTAACACTCTCTCTCACGTTAGGTTAGGTTCAATTCAACAACGTTTCCTCTTCACCTTTTACAGTCGATAAAAGACAAGTAATCACAACACTCCTCCTCGATTTGAAGTTTTACAAAAATGTTTGGATAAATGAAAATCGTGATTACAAGACTAAACATTTGCAGTGTTATACAATATTACACTTATCTCTAAATTTTACAAATAAATCCTTGCTTAAAGGTTTTGTTAACATGTCTGCTAAATTTTCCTCAGTTGGTACATATTCAACAGATATTTTCTTGTGTAATACTAAATCTTTTAAATAATGATTCTTTATATCTATGTGTTTAGCCCTTTTTGAATTCTCATTACTTTTTGACAATAATATTGAACTTCTGTTATCACAAAAAAGCAGTGTGGGAATATTAAGCTTAAAATCATTTAACACCCTTTAAGATTCATTAGGTCCTGAGCACAAGCAGCCGCTGCAACAAATTCCGCTTCGGAGGTAGAAAGAGCAACGCATCCCTGTTTCTTTGAAAACCAGCATACAGGGTTGTTACCAAGTACAATTAAGCAACCACTTACACTCTTCCCATCATGTTTGTCTGATGCCCAATCTGAATCTGAAAAAGCTTTTAATTTTACTCTGTGATTACTTGATTCATTTTTCACAAAAGTTAATCCTTTAAATTTAGTAGTATTTAAATAACGTAATATTCTTTTTCCTGCGTTCCAAGTATCATTTGTTGGCTTGTCCCGAAATCTATTTAAATATGAAACAGAAAATGTTATATCAGGTCTGGTAGTTGTTGACAAGTACATCAGTCCTCTGATCAATTGCCTGTAAGGAACATTCACTATCTCACTATTTTCATTATATTGAAATCCTTTTTCCATAGGTGTAGATTTTCCACTACATCCTTTCATGTTAAAATTTTCAAATAGTTTTTCAATAAATTATGTTTGCTTTATTTCTAGTTTACCTTGATCTTCCTTTCTGTTTATTGTCATCACTAAGAAATTCTTGACTTCTCCCATATCTTTTGCTTGAAAATGTTTCTTTAGTAAAAATATTGTTTCTTCAATGTTTTCATTCTTTCCCACTACTAACATGTCGTCTACATATAATAATATCCAGTTATTTTTACCACAGTACAAGCAGCAATCATGTCTTGATCTCTGAAAATTGTTTTCAACAGCAAAATTATTAAAAGTTTCATTCCAAACTTTTGGAGACTCTTTGAGACCATATAAAGCTCGATTTAATCTTAAAACTGTTGATTCTGTTTGAAGACCCTTAGGTGGATATACATAAACCTCAGTGTCTAATTTTCCATTTAAGAAAGCTGTAGGAATATCTAACTGTTTTATTTTCCAATCTTTCTGTAATGCTATGGAAAATAAAACTCTTATTGTTGCCATACGTGCTACGGAGCGTAAACTGGTTCAAAAAAATGCTTCTCCTTAATTTGGAAACCTCTAGCCCCTATTTTAGCCTTGTTTTATGCCATCTTCTTTTGTTCGAAATACCCATTTTGTCTGTATGGGTGTTTTACCATCTGGTAATTTCACTTTAGTCCAGGTTTGCATTTTTTCATGCGAGTGTAATTCCTTTTTTATAGCTTCCTTCCATTCAATTGTTTTTATCGCCTCATCGTAATTCTTTGGATCATTCTGTGATGTTAGCAAACAATATGCTGAGTAAATTTCATACTCACTAAGATGTTTTGGTGTGTTTATCTTTCTTCCATGTCTTGATGTCTCAGTTTTTGTTACATTTCTGTCTTTATCATTTAAACTTTCTGACTCTATTCCATCATTATCATCTTCTGATTCATTTATTCTACCTACTTCATTTTCGTCTGTTTCTGTCCCTTTATTGTAATTTTCTCCATCTCTTATTATTATTTTCTTCATCGCTATTTTTTTGTCTTTGACTTCTTCTATTAACTGATTGTAATTTGTCTGAGTTTCATCAAATGTAACGTCTCTTGAATATGTAATCTCATTTTACTCAAAATCCCAAAGCCTGTATCCATTTAAACCATATCCAGTCATGATGCACAATTCTGCACGTTTCTCTAATTTATTCGCTTTTGGTAAAACAACTGACCATGCCTTACTCCCGAAAACTCTTAATTTTGATAAATTGTTATTTTGATACCATCTTGTCGAGGGAGGAACACCACCATTTGCTTTTGTGGGTGACCGATTCAACTCGTATGCTGAACATAAGATTGCCTCTCCCCATAACTCTTTGGGTAAATTTGTTTCAGCAAATTTAGTTCTTACTTTATTTAACAAAGTTCGGTTCATACGCTCAGACTTACCGTTCTGTTGCGGGCTATATGGCAGCATATACTCAATCTCAATACTGCAATACTGCAATACTGTTTGAAATAATTTGAAGAAAATTCACCACCATTATCACATCTTATTTTTTGTGTTTTTTGATCCTGTTGTGTTTTTATTACCTTAATAAAATCAATAACGTTTTGAGCAGCCTCATCTTTAGATTTTAACAATTTGACTACCAAAAAATGTGAATAGTCATCAAGTAAAACCTGAAAGTACCTATGACCTTCTAAAGATGGAGTTGCCACTGGCCCTGCAATATCTGTATGAATAAGTTGACCAATCTGAGTAGTTTTTCTAGTACATTGATTAAATGTTTTTCTAGTACTTTTACTTTCCACACAATTACTACAAATTTCATCACTATAAGGTAAACTTAACTGTTTTAGACCATAACGATTTAAATGTCCTAGTCTCTTATGCCAAATATTTCCTGCATTATCATTTATTACTTTATAGCAATTTTCAGTTTTTAAATTTATAACAATCAAAAATAAATTATTAAAACTTTCACAATAAAATGTAACATTGTTATGTATTATTTTGGCATGTTTTCTACCTGTTTTATCAGTTTCAAATATTATTTTAAAATCTTTTCTTAATAATTTTGACTCAGAAATTAAGTTATGCGACATACCATTAACTATTAGAGCTTCTAATTTTATTTCTTTACCTTGGCAAATATCACTCAGTGTTCCCTTTTTCTCTGCAACCAACGTCTCCCCACTCTTGGCCGTACCTATTTTTATTTCTGTCTTTAAATCTTGTATATCTGTCATATAGTATTGCAGTTCACTTGTCACTAAATGTTTAGTAGCTCCAGAGTCCAAAACAAAACTGTTTATGTTGTGATTCAAGCTCATACTATTTTATGCAATAAATGCGACTTGTTTATCACTTTCCTTTACTTCGTTTGCCTGCTCACTTGTTTTTGCATTCGCACTATACCTACGATTACCTCGACGTGAACCTCTGTAATTTGTAGCAAATCTACCTCTATCTCTGTGCCTATTCTCTAAACACTCAAAAAATTTGTGACCTTGTTTGCCACATTTATAACACACATATTGGCTTGCTTTCAATGTAACTTCATTATCATTTCTACTATTATTCCCATTTTTAGATTTAATTTTTAATTGTTCATCCAACAATCTCGATTTGACAAAATCCATTGTTACATCTGGGTTTAATGTTTCAATCGCCGTTATTACAGGGTCATAGTCCTCATTAAGAGACAAAAGTAAGTGGCACACCTTATCCGATTCTTTGATTTTAGACCCAATACTTTCTAATTCTCTTATTACAGAGTCAAATTTCAAAAAATGATCCTCTAATTTTTCGTTCCTTTTACATTTTATTGTTAGCAACTTCTTCTTTAAAGTCAACTTCGAAAATGCACTTTTCCTCTGAAATACATCTCCTAATGCTTTTAACATATGTTTCGCTGTAGTTGAATCTTTAATTATATCAAGGTGTTTGTCACTTACACAATGCACTATGATTGATTTTGCCTTTGCATCCCTTATTTTAAAATTTGTCTTCTCTTTTTCCTCAGCAAAATTTGATACTTCTTTCTGCAACGTATCTTCAATCTGTTTTATCCTCCGGAAATGCTTTAACTCTAAACCTCCAGTTATTATAATTCTGTGCATTTAATTGTGGAAATACCACCGGCGACGAATTCATTGTGCCTTTACAAGTTTAATACACGTGTTAAAAAAAAAAACTTTTTCAAATTTTTCTCGATCTACCTTCCGCCAGCCAACGTCTTGCGTGGTTCTGGCCCATAACCTATTGTGAATTTACGAACACACGGATGTATTAAACTAAAATAACTTTAGTAATAATGAATACACTGATTTTTAAATTAACACTCTCTCTCATGTTTGGTTAGGTTCAATTTAACAACGTTTCCTCTTCACCTTTTATAGTGGATAAAAGACAAGTAATTACAACACATCTAGGACAAAAAACCGCGAAAGCGGCTTTTTTAAAAATATAAAGTAACAATTTTTCGAAAGCAATCTTGTTAGGAATATCGTTTCCATCGCCCATAATTACCTTTGCAATCAGCAGCACTCCTAGCCCCAATTCCAACAGTAACTCCCGACCGTCCAGCGATTACTGGACACTGAATACATTGCAACTGGCCAGATTCGCTTTGGTAAAAGCCTTGTGGGCAGGGCAAGCACGTTTTCGAAGTTGTGTTGTAAAAACTGCCGACAGCGCATGGCACTGAAATATTAGATCAACAACAATACAACAATTTTAAGCACTCAAATGAGGAGGAACCTACCGCAGTCGGGTGCCACGACTACTTGACCTGCAGGACAAGCGTAATCTGACTCAAGAGTTAAGGATGACGGATCGGGTACCGTGTTGGGCAGTATATCTCTAACATCAAACTGGTCCTCCTCCAAGATCAGTTTTTCGAGAAGGTTCTTCACAGTGGATCGGTCATTGGTACTCAAATGTACTACTGGGTCGCTGCAAACAACGACAATATGTTACAACATTTATCATATTGTTTCGTGAGACAACGCAAATACAAAGTGCTCGAAAATGATAGTGAAGTGCTTACTTTAAGGCTGGGAATGAGATTTCTATGTTGTAGGTATCGGAGGTGGACTGCTTTCCTTGTCTCGTTTGTCTACAATACAAAGAACATGCTCTACTGATAATCTACTAAACTACCGCTATTACTAGAACTAAATCGATGCATGCGTTCACGACCAGCGACAACATTTAAAACACCAAACGTGGAACTACTAGGGTAGGGTACCATTCTGTGGAAAATCTACTTACTTTTCAACGGGAACGTTAACGTCTACTACATATTTTCCACCATCTTCTTCGTTGTCGACTTGTCTCGTTTGCCGTTGCAATCTGTGGTCGCATTTGACGTCAATATTTAATTCTTTGCATTCTCTGGTGCCCTCGATGGAGAACGAACAGAAGTTCCAGTCGCGATTGAGGGAGTTGACCGCGTTTCGTATTCGTTGCCTTAAAACTCCCTGTCCGGCTTCGTTGCACAAGACCGAACTTGGGAAGAGCATGTTGATTTTGAATACTCTCTGAGCTGGTTTGGCAACTGAAAATTATAAATAGCTCAGAGTTATTTTTAGTTTCGTTGATATTTTTGCTAATTCGGTCTAGTACATCTTATATAAAGGCAATATTTATGGAAGATGTCTTTGGAAACTCATTTACCCAAAAATAATAATCCTAAATAATTTTCTGATTTAAGAGTCATTAATATTTTACCACTTCTGTCTGAAATTTTCCAAAAAGTTCTATACAAACAGATTATCTACTATTTCCAATTTGAATATAATACCGAAAGTGGATGGGAAGATAGATGTATATAATACCGCTGATGCATTTGCATCAGTTCTCAGTAACATAATAAACTGCAGGATTGGATGGTGTGTCTGTGTTACTCGATTACTCCAAGGTTTAATCATAACCATTAATCCTAAGCTCTTGTGTGCAAATTTAAAATAAAATAAATTTGATGACTTGGCGTAACTTCATTATCAGTCATTATCTATTTCAAATACTTTTTACAACACTTCTGGATTCCTCCTGCGTCGGTTTTTGTTGAGTCAAACTTGCTAACGTTTAACCAATCATCATGTTGACTTCTTCAGAGCTTAACTAAAACTGCCTCGCGTTTTACTCTGTATATATTGTTTGAGGGGGCGAAGCTATATGAGGATCATAAACACCATCTCGGATGACTGATTCCCATATTGGTGACATGTAAAGACCTGAGTCGCCGTTAAGATTGTTAGATTGCTTATAGATTTCTATAGACTCTTATTTTTCGTTGGTAGAAGAATGGTGAAAAGCACGAAATTTAGTTTTATCCAATAAAATTTAACGTCCGGTTTCGTGATAGTGTTTTGCAACTGCTGATGAGTTGATTTGTCTTAGTCTTACAGCCATTTAGATCAGCCCCCTTAAACCATATATAAGCAGGTACCACAGGGTTCAATTTTGTTGCTGTATTTTTGATTTATACATCTGATATTTTAAAATCTCGTAACTATTGTAAAATTCAGCCCTTTGCAGATGATATGCTGTAACCGTCTTTAACAGGTTACAGCCAGTTAATGACGACCTGGATATAATTAAACAGCTTTCTTTTAGGCAGAAGTTAAAACTAATACAAATAGTAAAAAAATGTTAAACTAATATTTACTGATCATGAGAAAAATTCTCACGTAACAATCGATAAAATTGAATTCGAAAAATATAAAAGTCCTCTCGTTTAATCCATAGCTATTACAAAATTCGCACCTATAACTTATAAAATAAATCCAATAATAAATCCAATTTGAATATAATACCGAACGTGCATGGGAAGATAGATGTATATAATACCGCTGATGCATTTGCATCAGTTCTCAGTAACATAATAAACTGCAGGATTGGATGGTGTGTTTGTGTTACTCGATTACTCCAAGGTTAAATCATAATCATTAATCCTAAGCTCTTGTGTGCAAATTTAAAATAAAATAAATTTGATGACTTGGCGCAACTTCATTATCAGTCATTATCTATTCCAAATACTTTTCACAACACTTCTGGATTCCTCCTGCGTCGGTTTTTGTTGAGTCAAACTTGCTAACGTTTAACCAATCATCATGTTGACTTCTTCAGAGCTTAACTGAAACTGCCTCGCGTTTTACTCTGTATATATTGTTTGAGGGGGCGAAGCTATATGAGGATCATAAACACCATCTCGGATGACTGATTCCCATATTGGTGACAGGTAAAGACCTGAGTCGCCGTTAAGATTGTTAGATTGCTTATAGATTTCTATAGACTCTTATTTTTCGTTGGTAGAAGAATGGTGAAAAGCACGAAATTTAGTTTTATCCAATAAAATTTAACATCCGGTTTCGTGATTGTGTTTTGCAACTGCTGATGAGTTGATTTGTCTTAGTCTTACAGCCATTTAGATCAGCCACCTTAAACCATATATAAGCAGGTACCACAGGGTTCAATTTTGTTGCTGTATTTTTGATTTATACATCTGATATTTTAAAATCTCGTAACTATTGTAAAATTCAGCCCTTTGCAGATGATATGCACATGTACTATTAGTTTGCTGTAACCGTGTTTAACAGGTTACAGCCAGTTAATGACGACCTTGATATAATTAAAGAGCTTTCTTTTAGGCAGATGTTAAAACTAATACAAATAGTAAAAAGATGTTAAACTAATATTTACTGATCATGAGAAAAATTCTCACGTAACAATCGATAAAATTGAATTCGAAAAATATAAAAGTCCTCTCGTTTAATCCGCTTAACATTAGTCACAGGCGATTTTAATGCCAAACTAGGTAGAAAACTAAACGAGAAATAATTTAAAATAGGTAATTTCGGTAATGGAACAAAAAATGAAAGAAACATTAGAAAAAGACAACAATGAACAATGAAGTCATATTACAAGAAATAAAAAAAGAGACTAGAAAATCTAAGATAAAACATGTTAATGTCTAAAAACCACACTAGGAAGAATGAAAATTAACCAAATTAAAAACCAAAACAGAATAGAGAGGAACACTAAAGACGTTATTTTAAAAATAATTACTACAGTCAAGTATATTGCACAAAACCAGATCCCCGGAAAAAATAAATCTAAAAAACTTAAAAGGAAAACAAAAAACGTGAACTCAGAGCTCCAACTTGAAACCGGTAAATCAGAAATAAAGAAATCCTTAAAAGGCATATAGGGCAATAATGCTTCAAGAAAAAATTAAGTGACTGTGAAAATGCTGAAAAATGGAGAAAAATTGGTCACCAATACCCTCCCTACACTATTTAATCAAATATTACAAGAGAAATACCAATCGATTCGGAAGACTGTATACAATATTTCTATATAAAAAGGGGATAAAACAGACTTAAAAAGTACATATTGATCTTACTTCTTGATGTCATATACAAATTGCTCAGAAAAATATTAACGGATACCAATTTAATATAAATAATAAACCGGTTTCAGGAAAGGGTTTAGTATGAGCGACCACTTACAAACAATAAAAACACTTATTGAAAAAGGCAACGAATAACATATACCACTCTTCCTGGCATGCATGTCACAAACGCCTTAAAATAAAGGTAGATTACATTACATGTATTACGATATACTTACTGAACTAATATCAGAGCAACAACTATTATTAAAATATACGATGGAACAGAATAAATACCAATAAATATGATCGAAAAACCAAATATGCCACCCCAAAGCACAGGACTCAAAATGAATTACAATAAAATTGAAAACACACACAAAAAACCACTACAATGAGAATAAAGCAACATGCAATAGGTAACTCAAAATGAATAAAGATAATTAAACAGCAGAAATCAAAGGTGATGCAGACTTATTAACTAAAGAATAAAAAATTTCCACTTGAAGACCAGAGTTTTTAATCAATATGTACTCCTATTACTCACATATGGGACACAAATATAGATATTTGCCAAAGATCATGTGAGCAAAATAATGAAAATTCAAAGAGTGATGGAAAGACTTATCTAGACGTAAAATTAAAGGGTAAAAGACCAAACACATATATTAGAAAAAAAAACTAAAACCAGAGATGTTTGAGGGAGAAATATCGAAGCTGAAATGAAAATTTGCGGGACACAACATTAGACATAAGATGGAAAGTGGAACGAGGTGATCATACAAGGGGAAGACTGTAGACGCGATGGGTAGATGAATAAACATAGCAACGGATCCTGAAGGATTGAGACAATTAGGGCAGATCAGTGCTTAATATAAAGGCTGAATAGGTTGATAGAGTTGAGATGAGTTGTTTCGGTTCGTAGAGGTTGAGTATAACTTCCAGTTGACTTCCAGCAGTTGGAAGCAACATACGTTCAATATTTGGAAAGAGTATTCCAAAGCGCGAAATCTTAGAATTGAAGTTTTTACTATAAATTTTTTGTGGTTAACAAATAGCGTTTCGCTGTGTATACTTAACTCACTACTCCCTACTTAACTTACTCGAACACGCAGGATACACCATTGGCAAATTGGGGCTGCTGGAAGGCCGCCAGAAACCTTCAGCTCCGCACGTATAAAATTTGGGGATGTCTTGTGAGAATTTCAGTCCTTGGTTGCAATCGATTTCGCACACTTTAAATTGGCCACCGGCTCCCCAATCCTTGCAGGTTTGGTAGCCTCCTACCGGATCAGGTATTTCGGGACAGAAATCCGATAAAACAGAAACTCTAAACGTGCATGTGGCCGTATTTCCAGCTTCGTCCGATGCGACGTAAGCGATCTGGTACATGCCCCAGAGCAACGTTTGTCCCGGTCTATGGCCGCTCTTTTCCTGGACCCTTTTAACGCCCACATTGTCAGTGAAATGTGGTTCGTCCCAAACGACGAGCGCTGAACCATTCTTGGTGATGATCCATAAATCACCTTAAAAATTAATAATAAATAATATGAATATGGGATGTTTCAAGGGAGGCGGTCGTGGTAACCGAGATGTATGGTTTTTTAAAAATTTGATCTTATATATTGTAAGCGTTGCGACTATGCCTCTTCTACGAAAAAATTATTTCTATGTTGTAACCCTATATGGGGTGTTTCATAAAGCATTTGACATACAAAAACCTGGTAATATACCCCAAGAGTACCTTAACAATGCGATTTGAAATGTATAGAAATGATATGGGCCGAATTAAAAGGCAAAGTTAGACGCAATAATATAATCTCAAAAATCTCCACCCTTGTAGATGATGTAATTGGAAATCAATGTGAATTAATACCAGAGGCCAGTCGGAGAGAACGCATTAATCATGTACTTGAAGTAGAAAATAATAATAAAAAAAACTTAGACAACGCAAAACGATTAATTATATTCTCAGATATTTAAAATATTCTGACTACTAATTTTATTTAATACTTACTTATTATTATTATTATTATTATACAGTACGCAATACTAATTATGTTTCAATTCTCATTGTTCTAAAAATAGAAAGCTCTCGGTGCTTTAGTAATACGATTATTTTTTGAACTATTAAGTGTGCGTTGATAAAGTGTGGTCAGTTGTTTTTCTAAAAATGGTAGCAATATAGCTAAGACATACGTATCATTTTTGCTTACGTCACTATACGTGATGTAACTGATCTGACTGGAGTATACAAACGATTTGTTTTTTTTGTTGGTATTATCTAATTTATTGACACTTAACTCATAACACTGCAGGTAATTAAGGTAATGTTTACTAAACAAAAGCACTAAGTACTTACAATGACAAAAATACGATTAAATCAATGTTATTTTAAAAATTACTTTTAGTGATTGTATTGATATAATTTTTTTTATGAGTAAAAAACGAAAAAAACAAGGATTTTATGTTTTCTTTCAATTTCAATCGCAGATATTGAGTTGTTTGTAAGTATCAAAATTCCAAAATGAAATAGTTTAATCAAAGAATCTTATGAATATTTGAGACCAGATCAGTACTAAAAAATCAAAAATGCAAATGAGAGACCTGTTCCCAGTAATTTTAAGGACTTAAACTTTCTCCATATTGTCATTCTGAATTAATTTATAGTTATATGTTTCATAAAAATTTAGTCGATTTTTTATGATCCAGTCTTCGGTATAATCGCACATTTTCTAGTACATTTCGTTCATTACAATTATAATCATCGCCTTGTATACTAAAATTAAATTTAAACATACCAGGACAGTATTCAACTTTGGGAGGAATTTTATCCACTTCCAGGTCTTGACATTTGGAGCCAGAGTATCCCGGCGGACAAACTCGTTGGCCGCAATGTGACGGTACAATCCTTTCGACTCCACCTACAGTGTCTTCGTAACCGGCCCATGTTAATATCAGTCCTCTATAAAGCACGGGTTCCGTTCGGCAGTCTCGTACTTGCTTTTGAATTTCCGTAGTGATGTCCAAAGCTCTCGACCAGATTTGTACTTTGGTTAAATGTCCCTGGAAGCCTGACTCGGTGTATGCCTTGAGGTTTCCTGGCTGCGGTTTACCCAATGTAACCCATCCACTGCAACATTGTATGGATAACATCCGTTAATATGATGGAACAATGTGTGAACAATGGTCTGCCTTCGCAAATAACGCCATAGTTATTTCAGGACATTTTGAAATACATTTCAGGTCTAATAATAAGACTCCGAGTTCAATGTGTTTCAGAAAATATCTGACTATACAAGCATAACAGATATTTATCAAACATAGTAGTATGGCAGAGAAGGTTCTGGGACAGTTAGATAACATTATATCCAGTTCTGACCGGACCGAAGAGGTAGGTAATTGTTAGGTAATTAGTCTTTAGACTAATTAATATGTGACGCCAAGAAATCATTAAAAGTATAAAAATTTGAAAAACCATTTTTTTTTCCATTCTAGTTAATATCCTACACGATGGAAGAGTTTTATACAAAGATAATAAAATTGTAAATATTGTTATTGTCGACACTATTTATTATATGTATGCAATAAAGAGATTATTGTCATTAATATTAATATTAATATTATTATTTGATATTATATTATGTTATATTATATATTATATTGTTATATTAGTGTCTTAAAGCACTATTTATTTTTTTAATTATTTTTTTAAAGAATGACCGGCAGAAAGAGAAAAAAAAACTACATATCAAACAAAATGACACAAAAAACAAATGATTTTCGGTTAAAATGTTATAGCAAATATTCAATTGTTATTGTTGTATTGTTGCTAACTTTATCGATAATGTGCTGTCAAAATAACTTTTTTTTTTCCGAATTTTCCTTATTAAAAAGTTAAGGCAAAATAGGTGATACGTATTTCGGTAATAATGCCCGAATAAAATTGGAAAAACTTATACTTTTTTCAGGGCTCTCGATAGCAATGGTGGAGTAATGAATATTGCCTATACTCGTTTCACATAATAGTATATTATGCAACAGGTGCGGCAATACGGCATTTGAGTCACAATTTTATTTGGCATAAGCGGAGCGAGTGTTTAGAAACTAGTGACTTAATAGTATATTATGCAACAAGTGCGGTAAACGGCATTTGACCCACGAGTTTATCTGACACAAGCGGAGCACAGCGGAGCGAGTGTTTAATAAAAGTTTACCGAACGTGTTGCATACTATACGTTTTCTACGACCGTTACATTTTAGGTACATTTTCGCAAAACAACACGAATACGTTTACTTATATGACCGTCAGAATTGACAAACGTCAATATTCCAACCGTGCGGTTATATTTCCGAAAACATCCGATTACTCCCAAACCCGTGCAGTTATATTTCGAAAATTTTCGAAGTGACTCAGATCAGTGGGAAACGATCTCACGTAGTAAAGAGGCGCTTTCCGCACTCTATATTGGTGTATAATTCGGTATTTTACAGAAGAAGTAAAAAAAATCATTTTGTTGTTTCTTTTTTTAACTTTCCAAACCAATATCTCCGAAACTAGAAATGGAAACTGAATATGCAAAATTGGTAAAAAATTAGACTTTTTTTTTCAAAGAAATTGTCACAGGTTACTCTAATGATATTTACAAACCGTGTGGGACTTTTATTCTGTATCTGTTTATATACTATTTGAAGGATGCGGAAAATTGTCTGGGATGACTGATTCCCATATTGGTGAAAGGTCTCAAGTCGCAGTTAAGATTGTTGGATAACATCTGATGTCTGGTTTCATTATTATGTTGGGATGTTGTTGGCGAAACATCAGAAAATTCGATTCATCAATTACCAAAACAAGTGGAATCCATAAGATTTGTAAATAGTTTGAAATATTTTGTTTTTGGTTAGTTTCCGTTTGACGAATAAGTGAAACCTACTATTCTGGTAATTTTCTTCCGCTTCCATAACCATCCAGTTTGCTGGCGATCAGGCCTTCCGTTATGAGCTTCAATTCTCCGCCATTATCGCCGTCCCAGACAATTGCGATGTGATGCCATTGAGCGTCGTTGATTGTGGTGTAATCTCTGTAGCTGAGGTAGACGTCTTGAATGTCGGGGAACAATGAGACTTGAACGCCGCTCGAATGTGCTTGTATCAACGGTCTTCTATCACTTGGTACGTGTTTATTTCTAAACGGGGTAAATCGTGATTAGATGTCAAAGATTAATTAACCAATACTTACGATACGCTGTAAAGTGTGAAGAATATGCCGTTCTCATCTTTTTGAGTGAACTGGATCCACATGGCGATGGTTAGACTCGAACTTGTAGTGGTATAAAATGGAATAACTTGAGAGGCTGAGCTGCGTGAGGCATCACTAAAGTATAAATCGTAATCGACGGAGATGGCTAGAAGTGATAAAATATGATGTTGATAGAATTAATGCGTTTAACCAATATGGACTGTCATTACATTGTAATTGATGGTATTGTGATTATAATGGTAAAATTCGGAGATGTTCGAGCTTTCATGCTTTTATTTTGTTACTAAGAAAACGCTTGTGGTTGTTTTATCACTCAATTCTAAAGTCATATAGGGTTTGATTAAACAAACAAACGTAAAAATAAAAAAAACATCATCAAATATTAAGAAATTGACAACATCGTGCAACTAGTTCTTGGCTTTGCTGAGGAGGCTGGTCTAAAAATTCTGTATCCGGAAGTTCTACATGCTATCCATTAGACGAAAGGAGGAAGAGATGCGATACGTTCACGTCTACTTTGTTGATTTTGACAAGGCGTTTGATAAGATATTGAGTCAATTTTCAGTGAAGCTATGAATGAGCGCCAGAAGGGTGTCGCCATAAACGGGCATATTTTAAACATCTGCTCGCTGATGACACCATTATAATTACAGACAAGCTTAAAAACTCTTTCGCAAAAACGGTAGATGTATAGGATATGGATTGGAATAAACAAAAACTTAAAGAAATCTAAATACATGAATATTAGAAATCTTAATAGAATTCTCACTATAGAAAATGAGATGAGATGAGATGAGATGCTTAAGAAACAGTTTATGCCATATTATTGTTTTTACATTAATTGGTTTGTACGAAGGCAATGAAAGACCACAAAGGAATACAGGTTTTAATTTGATTTGAATGAATAAGTCAGAATTTTTGAGAGACCTTAAAATTTCTGAGAAACAGGGTAGAATTTCTGAGAAATTTCAGAGAGACTTAAGTTAGAATTTCTGAGAAACAAGTAAGAATTTATGAAAAATAAGTCAGAATTTCTGTCCTAAGTAAGGGACATTGCTAATAGAGACTTCAGATATCAGTTAAGTTAGAAATTCTAATTTAAATGAGAAATTTTAATATGTTTCTCAGAAATTCTGCCATGTTTCCTATTCTAACAAAAATCTATATTTTATTTTTGGGAGCCTATCGTATTTAAGTGCTGTAAACTATAAGTTTACATTTAGATTGTAACATTATTTTATTTATTCTGTCAACGTGACCATAAATGTGCAATATCTCAACAAATTTGTACAACTTGAAGTAGTGAAATTAATTATATTGTATTCTATTAGTCTAACTAATAGAAGTAATGAAATACAGACAAAAGAAGCGTAATATTTGTGTGTGCTAATAAACTTACTTTTGCGACAGTCCTCGCCAGTCAAGTTAAACGGACACTGGCAATAAAATTTGCCAGTCAAATCCACGCAAGTTGCGCTCGGCGGGCAGGAGTTCTCTTTACAGTCCATGATGTCCTCTTCGCAGAATTTGCCAGTATAACCAGGCGGACAAATACATTTAAATCCAAATATGTTGTTCGTACATGTGGCTCCGTTCCTGCAAGCATTTGCTTGACAGGCGTCGTATTCGTACTGACACCCGATTCCCGCAAAACCCTCGTTGCAAGTACAGTTCAGTCCGGAGCCGAAGTCTTTGCACTTTCCTCCGTGCATGCAAGGATTTCCGATACATCTTTCTGGAGCTGTCTCGCATTGCTTGCCGTCAGTTCCAGACGGGCAAACGCAGAAGTAATCTTGGAATAGGTTAATACATTTCGCGTCGTTCTGGCACGGCTTGGCCTGGCAGCTCCCGATATCGGTTTCGCAGTTTACTCCCGCCCATCCCGGTTGACAGATGCACTTGTAGAACCCGACCTCGTCCCGACAGGAACCGCCGTTGAGGCACGGGTCCGCTTCGCAATCGTCGATGTTCGTCTCGCACATTTTGCCAGTGTATCCATCGCGGCACATGCAGTAGTATTTATTATCCAAGTCGACGCATTTGTCAGTTCCCACGGGGTTACATGGATCGCTGAGGCATTCATCGATGGCTGCTTCGCATTGCAGACCGACAAACCCGGGTCTGCATTTACAACTGAACCCCTCTACTAAGTCGGTGCAAGTGGCGCCATTTTGACACGGTTTGGATGAGCAAAAGTCGATCGTATGCTGGCATCTTTTGCCCGTGAATCCAGGCTCACAAGTGCAAACGAAATCGTTAACCAAATCAGTGCAATGGCCATCGTTCTCACAGGGATTGGGAGAACAGTCGTTGATGTTACTCTCGCAGGATTCACCCGACCAACCGGGTTGGCAAATACATTCGTGATAAAATAATTTGTCCACGCATACTCCGTTCTTGCACGGATTGCTGCTGCAAAGATTTATTTTCTCCTGGCATCTTTTCCCCGTGAAACCAGATGGACAACTGCAACTAAAGTCATCTACCAAATCGGTACAATTGGCTCCCAGCAAGCATGGTTTTTCGGCACAGTCGTTTACGTTTATTTCGCAGGTTTGCCCTTCCCATCCAGGTAGACACTCGCACGTAAAGCGACCTTGCTCTAGTGCTATACATGTGGCTCCGTTGTTGCAGGGGTTACCGTTTGCTGTACATGGGTCGATCTAACAACAAACATAGTAATAGTTTTTTATAAAAAGGTAATGCTATTTATTAGTCTTCTGGATTCTTCCTGTAATCTAGAACTTGCCAAAATCTCGAAAATTATCCTGTCGACTTCTTCAAAGCTTAACTGAAACTGGCTCCCATTTTACTTTGTAAGTGATTATATACTGTTTGAGAGTGAGGAAAAGAAAGGAGTGGCATGAATATTGCCTTTGATAGAAAAAATGGTCGAATAAGATTCATGATCGTGTTCAGCAATTGATGATTTTTGTTTTGTAGTTTTATGGCTCTTTCACTTTCTCTTAGGGCAATTGATATTTTTCGTTTTAGTTCGCCAGTGTGTTCTTCTCAAACGGATTGTTGTCTTTGACGGATTAAACATTGCAATTCTTAACAACTTTTGATATTTGATCAGTTTCAATGTAAGAAAGAAAGAAGGAAAGGAAAACTAGGTTATGTTGTATAATTATAAATGGCTCAGAAAATGAACGAGGGATTATAGGACGTACTGCAAAAAGTATCGTCTATTGAGCATTTAAATAATTTCATTTTTACATGAAAGATGTCAATGTCTTTCAAATGCTTAAATATATTTTTGATGACTGGTGAAAATGGAGAATGCGCTTTGCCAAAAATCATCAGTTATCAACTCTTTGGTTATGGAGCCGTAAAACTATTTCAATCCGAGTCAATGACACTGACCACTGTAGTCGTTCCTTAGATTCAAAACCAATATCAGAAGTTATTTAGAAATATAATGTGAAAAGCAGATTTACCAGTCCCCCAAAAGTCGCTCAATATATTTGATACCTCAAAAACAGAAATCCATTTGAGACACCAGGAGTTTACATCATTCCATGCATATGCAGCAGAGAAAACATTGGACCAACTTAAGACCACGGAGAGACTAAATTGACAGGATGATTGCTGAAACATCAGCAAGTTCGATTCATCAAAAACCAACGCTGGAGGAATCCAGAACATTTGTAAATGTAATGTAAATGTAAAAGTAGTAGTAATAGTAATAGCTATTTGGTTTTAATGTTACTGCAGCCACTCTCATAAAATATTAATGATATTCCATAATATCTGCTATCTCCTTATCTTCATTGAAGTTTTGAGTTTCTCGATCTGACGACCTTCTGATTAGAAATAAAAGTATAATCATTAATAACATTTACTTCACTAAAATGCTGGGAATGTCATGCTCATCGGACGTTGTTAGGTCTAATCCTTTTGTTTACGTTTTTTTTTACGCTTCATTGCAGAAGTTACCACTTTTAATTTTTTCTTTTAAAATCAGTTTCACTTCTGGTATTTTTATATTTAGTTAATATCTCCAGGGTCCAAAATTGCAATTAATGCAATAAACAAATGTTAATAGGTGCAAAAGAACATTCAGAATGATAATTTTTTATGACTTTTATCCAGAGTAAACTAAACATTTTCACCAATATGTTGCGAAACAGTTATTTGGGAAATTCATTTTGAACTAAATAAAAAGTATGGATGGTCATTAAGTGTACGTAAGTTAATATGTTTTTACATCAAAAGAAAGCAGGACTTGAACTGATAAGTCAGGAGAAACCGCCACTTACCGTGACATCGCAGTCTATTCCAGTATAGCCGGATCGGCACAGACAGGTGTAGTTCTTATAACCGGGTTCATCTTTGCACATCGCTCTCGCAGGACAAGTATCGTTCGAACAGTCAGATCGTTCCTCTTGACAATTAATACCCGAATAGCCTGGAGCACATTGACATCTATAACCTTGCGGCAAATCGATGCAACTAGCACCGTTGTAACAAGGTTGGGAAGAACATTCGTCAATGTCGATTTCACATCTACGTCCGGAGAAACCAGCGGGACAGAAACACTGAATTCCATGACCCATGGGTATACAAAGACCACCGTGCTGACAAGCGTTTTCGTTACATTGAACCGGATGACATTCGTCACGACCGGTCGCTCCGGGCCCCTCAGTTTTCATGTTGGTCGGACATTCGTTACAGGACGTTTGTCCAACAACCGACTGGTAAAAGTCCTTTGGACAAAGAGAGCAAGGCGCTAGCCCCGTAGGCGAATATTGACCTGGACTGCATTTTGGTTTGCATAAGTCTTTGCTTGCTGCGGATGGTTGGTAAGTGAACGTATTGGCTGGGCACGCTTGGCAATCCTTAAAACCTCCAGTAGGCGGTTCTCTGGTGTAACTATTTCTGGGACACTCTAGACACGGAACCATTCCTGTTGGCGAGTAAGTGCCATAGCCGCAAACAGGCACGCAATCGTGGATACTTTTGGTCCCTTCTTCACGGGTGTATGTTCCTTGAGGACACTTCGCGCATGATCCTTGCCGGTCGCTGTTTTGATAATACCCTCTTGGACAGGAAGTACATTCCTGTTGTTTTTCTTCGGCAAAGGTACCAGCAGGGCAATGCACTAAACAAAATTATTCATGTAACAAACTGTAGCAATAGCTGAAGAGATACTTACAACAGCGTGGTACATCGTTGGTGTCCATATTGAGTACTTCGCCTACGCTGCAAGTAAATCCTCTTTGATTTGACGACCTTAAGGCTTTCAGTGGAGGACACTGATTCCTTATAGATGAAACATTGAGCAATGGCTCGATGACAGCACTTGCATACGGTACCGATAAATCGAACATTAGGTTCAGAGTGCTGCCGCACAAATCGTATAGTTGGGGTTGTCTAATAACTGGTACCACGTTTATAATATAATCTACATTGACTACATTTTCATCCATCAGAGTAGCTTTCGATTTAATAATGGAGACATTCATTCGCACGTTGACTGCGGAGCATCGATCAGACAGCACGTTGCTCAAATTGCCGTAGTAATGAGATAAAAGTTCGGTATACTGATTAAGACAAGAAGTTGCCACAGCTCCATTAGCTCTGTAGTTTAGGCTCGCCGTGAAATGATAATCGGCCTGTTGAGTATCTAATGTGATAAATTATAAGTACGGAAATATTTAGGTTTAAATATTATTGTATACCTTCTGAAACGCAGTCTGGTACCACGGACGTTGGCTTCCAAGGTGTTCTACTATCACACGAAAAAGTTTTGACAGGTTCACCATCTGTGAATCTATAGCCGGGGTTGCAGGTGGCAATGCATTGTAATCCTCTTTCTCCGGGCAAACAGTTTAGAGCACCATTCACCGGTGGTTTTAGTTCCCAATCAACGCAAGGTGTTGCCTGTACCGATACTTGGAAATGACAAGTGGCTTTATTTCCAGATTTGTCCGTGGCCACGACAGTCACGTTCTCAAAGGAACCTATGGAAATTGTCGCCTTTTCAGGCACAAAGGCTATGTGAACCTCTCCTGAAGCATCTGAAGCGTTGATCCGGCGTCTCGTTTCGTTGAAATTGACGGCGTAACTGTCTTGTCTATCAACTAGTTCTATTACGTAGCTTTGTGGACAGCTTAGTTGCGGAGGAGTATTATCTGCAAAAAAAATGACACCATCAACACTATCAATAATTCGCATGATTCTGTTGTAGATTCTAGGTGATTATAGGTTCATAATATGGTTCTTCGAAATATCGTTAGTAAAACTAACATTATGACTTACCGCAAAAAATAGACCCGGTCTTATATATTAGCAGAAAGGGATGAATAAATACAAATGGCTCTGAAACAACTAGCAGCCCAGGCGATCACATACCCTTACGAAGCTGTAATCTTGAAACGTGTTCCAGAAAATATTGAATAAAACAAAAGGAAAAGTGGATATTTTGCGGATTATATGACCTCATTTACAAAATACAAGGTGCTGCAAAAATACAATATCAGACGCTAGAAAAAGCTCTGGGAGGAAGTCAGAAATATGAGCAATTCTGCATAAATTTTCTTTTCTAGAGAAGTGAACTTTAAGGTTTCGATTACATATGGGAGGATTTTTCAAAAACAGTGATAACACTTGCAATACCTAAAAGAGGAATAAACTTTAATATCTAAACCCACCGATGTTGATGTGTGCTGAAAATATATGCTCAAGATATTGGATGAATTTAGAATTAGACATGCAAGGAAAAATAAATTGAAGTCAAGAACTTTCCGTGAAGACCAGCGTTCAGGAACAACTGGCAGATTGACTGAAGCTGCAACAGAAAGAAGAGCTGGAGAGCACATCTACAAATCTAAAAATAGTATATCTATAACCAGATAAATGATTTTAAACCTGTTCTTTGGAAAATTTAGTTATTTTCAATCATAATCGCTTTTACAGTAACCATCGTAGAAGATTACTACTCTGTTTTTCGAAGATTGTACGATTTAAAAAGTACTATTCTGGTACACTAAAGTAAAATACGGTAAAATACCTGGCACAGTAATGTTAATTTCGCAAATTGCCACGTTGCCGTCGTAATCAAACGCAACGTATTTAACCACCATATCCTCGAAGACATAGACGGGGGTTTTAAAACTCGCAGGTTTAACTTCGAGTCTCGCAATATTTCCAGAGTTATCTACAGCCGTGGGTTCGGTGAAGTTTACTGGAAGTAACCCGCCGTTGGCATCTTTTTGGACAATTATAGGTTGCTGGGGACAGTTTTGGAATACTGGTGTTTCGTTATCTAAAGATACATGTCACGTAAATATTTTTCTTTTATTGAGAAAAGAAGATTGCTTACCAACACAGGGAGAATATCCGTAGTCGTAACCCAGCAACGGCTCTTTTTCAGGCTCGTCACAACCCATCAGTTCGAATTTCAAGCAAGCGTTATCCATATAACTAACGATACCTAGAATTACAAATCTGGCTTGGACATACTTTGGTAACGAAATCATTGCCAGTTCGCCATAGTTCCCGGGATCTCTCATGGTCAGATTGAAGTTGGGAAAGTAAACGACGTAGTTTTCGTTTTCGGCTTGCTTGTAGAAGAAACGAATTTCCGTCGGTCTTCCCACGATATCGTTGGTAACTACTCCTTTGACTAATATCGCTTTCACGCGATACACCCTGCCCAAGTCGACGCTCACATAAGTAAAAGCTTCCTGTTTTCCACACCAACCGGTTACCGAATTAAGTCTCACGTTTCTGGCTTCGTAATTGGGTCGTTCACTGGTAGCATTGATCGCCGAGTCGGGGATTTTCCCAGACGCGATGCCCAACGGTCTCACGACCTTGCACTCCGGTTCGCGAACGCAAGTAATAGGTCTGGGATTGATTAGTATGTAACCTGCCCGATTGCAACTGAAAGAAACTTCCGACCCTTGCTCGTAGCTTCGCGCAATTTGGTATCCGTCACTTGGTCTACCGGGATCTTCACAAACCGGGCCTTCGCATCTGAGATCTCCAAAATCCCAAACACCGTTGGCCTGACACCTGACCACGTTGTCGTGTTTGCTGCTTTGGCCGGCCAATTTGAACGTGTTCTGACAACCGAAGAAAAACGACGACTGATATTTGGTGTCGATGTGTTGGCCGTATTCGGCTCCCGGGGTAGGAGGCGGCACACCACAGTCGATTCGCGGGCAAGATGGGATGGCTCCGCTCAACCAGTAATCTGGGAAGCCGGGTTTGGGGTCATACACGCATTGTCTAAAACTGGAGCTCGCCGTCTTGCGAAGATGTCGTCCGGTAGAACCGCAGTGAAGGGTCACATTTTCCCTAAACGCGACCAGTACACTATCTTCGTCGTTACGTAACACTTTAAGGCCTTCGTTTTTGTCGTCCGGTAAAGATACGCACTGTGCATCTGAAAGAAGAAAGCACCTTTTTTATTAAGTGTTTTTAAAATCGTAATTATTTTTCTCAAATTCAAGTGGATTTTTTTCAATTTTCCCTGCTGCGTTGTAAGGGACATATTTATCTAATGAGAAAAAAAAACGTTATTTTATGTATAATGTGTAAATTATTTAATTTTTAAATATAAGAAACTAAAGAAGAATATAATAGAAATTATTAGGTAAAAATGTTTTCCCACACAAACCACATGTACTACATCATCGGATTCATTTGCTCCACCCATACATTTGTTATAATCGTGAAAGAGGGTCAGCTTTGTCTTTTCTATGTAAAATGTTTCCTTTTGATGGTCTCGCCACTTGTCTTTGCATTGACATCTTTATTTTTGGAATATTTAGCTATTAGCGTTTCAATTTCTTCTCAATATGCTAAAGAATTGTCAATGGATAAGTCCCGGTGAGGTTGGTAACAGTATCGAAGAATCTGGCTAACGCAAATCGTAATCAGGATAACCTGGCAGTGCCAAATGTTGGTTATATATTAAATGAAAAAAATGCTGACATCTGGAGTTATTAGTCTTATACGAATATATAGTTTGTTAATATTTTGTTAATATACATCTCTAACAAATATCCATTAGACTTATCCAAGTTCCAGCAAGGATTAAGAATCACTACTTTCAGTACAAACACTCATTCTTCGCGTAAACGTAATTTCATAGTCACTGTCACTATTTTCAATAACGAATTTGACATCGTAAATCGTTATTTTAACATATGTTCATTTACCCCTTTTTCTAAAACACTCTAACTCCGATCGAGTTTGTGGAAAGTACCATTTTACGACATCAGCTTGGTTACGTACGGCTCTGAGTCATTTCGGACATTTCCGGGATATTTGAATGCCTTTAATTTTGATGTTTGTCAATCCTGACGGTCATGTCAGTTGAATATATTCGAGTTGTTTTGAAAAATGAACCCAAAACTAATACCGTAGCTTGGTAAACTTTTTAAGTCGTTCGTTTATTTAGCACCATAATAAGCACAATGAACTATTAATGCTTATTTATAATAGCATATTATGCAACAAGTTTGGTAAACGGCATTTGAGTCACGAGTTTTGTTTTAGCTTGAGCGGAGCGATTGGTGCTTAATAAACAGTTGACTACCCAAAATAACACAGACATTGGTCGCATTCAGCGGACGTAGCAATTCGCTCCCGATACGTAGCGATAGCGACTGGCAACGTAGACGTTATGGTGTATTATTTTTGTTTGGGTGTTGTTGATTTTGAAATTTAGATTTTTTCGAAGGTATATCTTATTTAGTGTTTGGGTGTAGTGCCGCCGATTTAACATGTGGTATAAAGTGGAAACGTTTTTGTACTCTAGTACCTACTACATCAGAAATTAGTAGAGACGGGCGTTATGAACATTTTGATTCAAAACAAAATGACCGAGGATAATTTGGTCAAATGGCTTTGAAATTAGCAGAACCAATTCGAATATTCAAGGATGATGAAGGTGATAGATGTCCAATACCAAAAAATCGAAAGTATTATGGTGACTGTAAGGAGTTATGAAGGGAACTTATTAGAATATTTTCGAGGCCTACACTTGTAAATTTATTCAAAGACCTCTATTTTAGAATTTACCACATCTAGCACGTTTCGGAGCAGCGAGACATTTGATATGTTTAGAAGAGGAGCTACCACACCTGGAAGTAGATATTGCAGATGAGGGTGGAAATAAGGACGAACCAAATAGCAAATATGGTTTTATAACAGATATTGCTCTTTTTTTGCCATTCACATAATAAGTGCAAAATTTTATTTCTTTCCTCCTGGATTTTCTTGCTTCTTTCAATGGCGTTTTTTAAGAGGTTAATTTCTTGTACTCAAACTTCCTTGATATTTGTCAGCATTCTTCGTAGATAAAACATTCAACTCTGACTCCCTAGCATTGGTACTTCTAAAATTATAACATGTGATAAGCCTTTAATTTTTTTAATTATACCAATAAAAAAAATTTTTGAAACTTAACCTACGGGGGGATACAGGTGTTGCTCTGATTTCGTTTCCATCTGCGAAGTCCCTGGGATAACAGGTGGTTCCTTCTTGTTTTCGGCAAGGGGTTTTTTTCCTTATAACAGGAACTGCTGTCGAGGTTAACCTGGTGATAATATTCCTAGTAAATTATAGTAAATTCTACCCCGTCCAGGTCTCTCCATTTTCTATCCAATATTTCTTCGGTTTAGTGAAAATGTGTTCTGAAAATAACTTAAAATCGCATCTCTATTTCATATGAGTGTAATTTGCGTTTAAAAAAGATTACCGTTTGTTTGAAAAAATACATACCTTGATACGATCTTCGAAAAATCGAGGGGTTTTGGAGAAATTGAGCTGAGGAAGCTTTTACTTGATGAAAATCCATTTACCAAAATAAATAAGAACTAAAAGTTCAGATTTTCACGAAATTATATATTTTGACAAGACAATTGTTTCGACAACACCGTGTCTTTATCAAATTATTTGATATATATCAAATATTATTAATACATATCAAATATTATTGATATATATCAAATATATTATATTATTTGATATATATCAATTATTTGATGAAGACACGGTGTTGTCGAAATAATTGTCATGTCAAAATATATAATTTCGTGAAAATCTGAACTTTTAGTTCTTATTTTTTTTTGTTTTGGAGAAAACTTTCCCGTTGAGACCCTGGGATTTTTTTTTTTGCAAATTTTGTAAGTACTAATAATAATATAATTAATAAAAAATAAAATATATTTATTATAATGGAATTTCGTACTCACCATCACTGTCCAATACACACTAACCAAATTCCTCTTTCAAGACCAACTTCTGCCAATACTGATCGTTTCGCTACCTCTAACTAGCACAAAATAAACTCGCTACTAAAAATGGCGTGCACCCCACAACATGTTGGATATGTAACGTATGTGCCACCGGACGTTTCTGACACAGCTTTGTAAATTCAAATGTCCAACACTATACCAATCGCAATCGCTACCGCTACGTATCGGGAGCGCTTTGCTACGTCCGCTGAATGCGACCATTCGTGGCCGTCAGAATCGACAAACGTCAAAATTCAAATCGTTTGTAATGTTTCCGAAAACATTCGATTGCACTTAAAACTGTAGGTAATATCCGGGAAATGTCTGAATTGGCTTGCAGCCGTATGTTTTTAAGTGACATCCATTGACAGAGCAATTTGTTTTTTGTGTGGCTTTGAAGCCGGTAAGATTCTCCTTTAATCGCGAACTATACGAAACGAACAATTTCTTTAAATATTATCAACAATATCAACATCCAAATGTTACTTGAAAACTATAGCAATATTTTTTCCGTCAGAGCTCTTACTAAAATCGACGCTCTGCACTCTATGGAATAAGTATCACGCCCTAACGTCAAAATTCAACTTACATTTGCATTCAGGTGTCGTGCCGTTCCAAACTCCGGTCGAAGTGCACAGTAGTGCGGAAGACCCGGTCATAACGTACCCAAAGTCGCACTGAAATCTAACCAAATCCCCGAAATGATATTTTTCTTTGGTTGACAATATAACTCCGTTTTCAGGAGCGTTCAATGACGGACACATTATCGGCACACAAGACTTGTTCACTTGGTATACGTCGCCGTTCCTCAAGCCGGTTTCTGACTTTTCGATGTAGAAGGATGCGGTACCGTTTCGCTGATACAATTCGAAACCGACATTACACGCACACGAATAATCACCACCACTATTTATACATTTCTGCTGACAACCGCCGTTATCTGTAGCGCACTCGTTTATGTCAGCGCATTCCAACCTCGTACAGCCCATAACTTCCAATTTCAAGCAAGGCGCCCCTACGTAATCTTGCACCTTGAATTTTACGTATTGGGCTTCGATAGGTACCGGAAGATTCAAGATTGACAAAGTTGGCTTCTCTATTGTAAATTCCACTGCCAGCCCGTCAGGATTACGATATTCCTTGAAAACGTCGGTCAAGTCGTCCGTGTAAAGTATCCTGACTGCGGAAGTGAATGCTACCGTTCCATCCAGTCTATTGATGGCCATAGTTCGAAATCCTCTCACAATTGTCGGCGCCCTTAAATCTAACATAACCCAATTGGATCCACCTTCGATAGTGTTACCGCACCATCCGACCCCATTGTTAAGTCGGATCATCTGCAAAAATATGATTAGTTAAATTAGAACAAACGAGGTTTATATTTTCACAAATTATTTATTTATGTATGACAGCTGTTTCGGCAACACCGTCGCTTATCAGATACAGAACATTAAGGGTATTGTTACGGGGATCCATTCAAATCTAATTGGTCAATAAGTAGTAAATTCATTCATGGCAAAATTAGAATCACAACCTTTATTTTTCCGTTACTACATTTCTTCCATTTTCTACCTGTTTTTCCGATAAACATTTTTAATCATGAACCCACATTTCAACCTGTAGATTCCGAATTTTTAAGTTTTTTGTTTTAAAAGCAACCTCGACCCAACATTTAGGCAGATGTTGCGAAACTTTCTTGCTAGGTTCCCCAAGGGTTTTAAAACAATTGAATGTATAGGAGAACCTGGATGATATCCTAAAATTTACATCGGACAAACAGATTCAAGAAGCTTGGAAAAATAGAAGTTCCAATTCAGAAATGCACATTTTACATCAAAAAGACATAAACTAAAATTATTGTTAACTGAATTGAAAACGTTATAATAACTGCAATTAAGCATTCATTACTAACTGTTTATATTTATCTGCCGCACCCCAATAAATAACTTGAGAAAATCTGAAGATCATTTGTTCTAACTTGGATTGTTAAATGGATTGTCACCATGTAAGAGCAGTTGATTGTTATATCTTTTAAGCGTACTAGCTGACCTAGACAATGAAAAAGCTTTCGTTTATGGAATCTGGATATAGATAGAACAGAGAAAGTTTGATTACATAAAAAAATCTACCTCGAGCCAAATTCATTGCTTGGAAACCCGATTACTGATTGGAGAATTTTATGTATGGCTTTTTTGATCTATATCACTATCAAAAACTTAAATATTTCCGTAGACTTTTGCCGAATCCATTTGAATGAAATCTGTTATGTTGGCTCGTGATGATGTTCGTAAGTTACAAGTCTCTCAAGTGTTCTTTTAATCTTGTTGATATTTTTTACCTGTATCTCTTATGTATTTTTTTCGCTGCTGTAAAACACTTGAAGTTAAGAGAGGAATTTTATCTTTTGTCTATTGTAGATGGTAGATTTGAAGACAAGTGGGGAATCTACTTTTGATGTTATGTTCTTTCGGACTTTTTGATATTTGATCAGTGACATTTTAAACATACATCAGTACTGCAGTGGCAAACGGAATACTTTGTGTAAGTGCTTCCGTTTATTCGTGTTTTGTTTGAGAGGAGAACTGCGGTGAGATTTGTTATGAGATTCGGATAGAGGCAATGATATTTATCTGGAAAGTAAAGAATTAATCACGGAAAATTTGGTGTCATGTGATGATGATAATGCATTTAGGTATCGACCAGTAAGAGTTGGTCTAAGGTTAAGCCTGGTTTTCAAACTAATTCGTACCATCTATCCCAAAAATCTTCATTACCAGAAATACACAGTTCTTCTCTTAAACAATTTACATTACCAAGATATTATATTATATTATATATTTGAAAAAATACTTCAAGCGACAGACTACCCTCTATCACCACTTGTACCGAAATCTTATATTATATACGATCGGTACAGTATACCGTGCAAGTCGAAAAATATCAACCTCACTAAAACTAAACTAAAAGCACACACAAAGATCAACCAGGCTTCCGCAAATATTAATATCATGAGTTATCGAACATAACATTCGAACGTTACACCAGATTCTATTCGATAAAACCAAAATGCATCTAGCACTTTGTTTTGTCAACACCGCAATAATATAAATCGCAATAAAGGTTCTTATCTTATATCCATTTGGGATTTGGTCATCACTGAAACAATAAAAGGAGACCAATAGACATTCAAATTTTATAGAGCAATATTGAAAACAAGAATTAATAAAACTACATAAATAAAACCACATCCAATTGCTAGGAAAATTTGAAAACATGATCGTAAGAGCAATGGCACAGGTAAATATTGAGTGATCACATCAAGTAATGCCTACGACATATGCTTACCGACTTGTCGTATCCCGCTTCGGTGCTCGAAACCGTAATCGATTCGTCAGGAATTCCGCCATTAATGAGTCCCAAATCTACCACAGGTCTGCACTCGTTCGTAGGTGCAAACCCTTTTCGACATTTGCACTGGAACGATCCTGCAGTATTGATGCATTCCGTAGACGCAACGTCGCACTGGCTGCTGATACATTCGTTAATGTCCTCGCACTTGGGAGGATTATTGAATTTTTGGTTTTCGCCACACCTCAAAATGCTATTTCCGATTAGTTTGAAACCTTTCTGGCATTGCACTCTTGCTTCGTCGTTATAAAAATACTGACGGTTTGGATCTGTTATAATGCCGTTTGGAACGTCTGGTAAAGTGGGGCATCTAGCTCTGGAGCATACGGGTACCTCCCCAGACCACGTGCCATTACTCATACAAAGTATTACTGGTGGACCACTGCGGATGTAACCTGGCTCGCATTCGTATCTAATAATAGTTCCGTAAGATCTTCCTAATCCGTTTAGGACCGTTGCATTAGCATGAGGCACCTCTGGTAGTGGTGCACACTGTGATGCTAGAAAACAGAGATATTATATTATGTTAACCTGCCCATAGCTACATTTTACTCACCGAGGCATGTAGGTTTCTTCTCCCATCTGCCGTCAGCGAGACAAGAGATTCTTTCTATTGGTTTGCCTGTGGGGAAAGCAAATCCTGCATAGCATTGATACATTGCTTGACCTTTGTAAGTGACATTAGTAGATCCGATCGAAAATCCATTGTCGATCTGTGGGACTGGTCCGCAATAAACTTCTTGGCACTTTGGGATGTAACTAATCGACCAATTCCCTCCTGGCAAACATTGAGTGGTAAGTCTGTTTCGTCCGGTAGCAAATTCTTGACCGGCAGGACAGTTAAACGTTATGACGGTACCAAAGGCGGTATCTCTACTGGAGGCCAGTGCTCCCATACCGGGTTGCAATTGCGGACAATCTGCGGAGAAACTCGCTTGCCAACCCTTTTTGTTGTGCAGTGCGTCGGTAGTGAATCTGACTAGCATATCTCCACTAGAAGCCGTTAAAGTAATTTTAGGCCTGGAATCCTCAGTAAATCCGCTTCCCGGATGAAGTCTCAAGCCGCTAGTACTGGGTCCGTCAAATACCTGAACAAAATCGGTCTTGTCGACATCGAAACTATCGAACTTGAAAGACAAAGGGCCGCCGCTGGGATTTCTGATCTTATACAGACATTCTTGGTTGCTCGGATAATTTTCTATACCAAGAGCGGGTGATGTTATGGTGCCATTGCGTGCTACGATGGTAGCCTTACAGCCTTGTGTGTACCGAATCCGAAAACCACGCTTCGAATCACCCAAACTTGTTTTGAAGTAGATGTATAGTTTGCTGTGCGTAGACATTATTACCCCTGGATTATTTTCAGATTTACCCGTTAATCGAGCAATTGGCGTACTTTTAGGGGAGTCTCCGTCGCGTACGTAAATGTAGTCTCGATTATCGTCTAAATCAAGGTCGTCAACTTCCAATGTAATAATTTTTCCATTTTGTGCTTGTAATATATAGAGACATTCCAATCCTCCCGGATACTGGTCCGGATAACCGGGACTTTTTAGCACCTGTCCTTGAGGAGTCGCCCTGAGGATACCTCCACACGTTTGGGGCTCAGTTTTCCAGGAAGCCCTAAAACCTTTTCTTTCTACCGACGCGTCCGTACTAAATTTCACAATCATAAAATTCGACGCTGATACAAATGATCTGTTAGTTAAGTCCTGTCTTCCCGATAAAGTGGCCAAATTTACCGAGGTGTCTTCAGTGCGCCCACCGACGAGGATTTGTACGGTGTCGAAGGTTTTTTCCGTTTCAAATTCTTGAAACTGCAATAGGATATTATGTCCCTCCGGTCCCTCCAATGTCCATTTGCAGTTGGTAAGAGGGGCATATTTATGCGGATAGTATGGCGATTCCACAACATCGCCACTGCTCGCGAGATAAAAGTTACAATTAGTAGCACAGTCTATTTCGTCTGAACCATCTCCGCAGTCGTCTTGCTTATCGCATTTGAATTTCTCGTTAATGCAGTTTCCGTTTGAGCAATGGAACGAACCCGATGGACAAGCTTTGGCCCTACACATGAAAGGTAGAAGACTCTCACAAGTTGTTAGTTCCCATGACTGTTTTTCTTCGGTCACTATCACGTCGACGCATTCTCCAGACGACGGATTTGGTTGATTTAGCGACCAGAATCCTAAAATTTTAAATTATTGCTTAGATAGAATTTTACAGTAATTTAGTTGCGCTTACCCGAATACTGGGACACCAGTGTTCCTGCAGCCGATTCCAAGGTATTGGTCCTTAGGTCGTCTAAAGAAGCCAATCCTAGCCAGTAATTATTAGCAGTTCTCCTGTCGATAGATACTGAAGAAATAGCGATCGTCGCTGTTAAATTATTTTCAGCGTAAGATTCAACTGCCATTAAGTCACTCCCGTACCTGAAACAAGTGGCACGTGCGTTACCTTAATGGGAATTTCAGGATAAGTCAAATAATTCTATAAATTCTTCTCCATTTAGCGTTAATTTTTGAATTGCCTCCCAAAAGTATTTCATTCCCATGTCCTGAATAATGCTAGGGGATCGAAAAGCAAGCGTAGAAGTGCATGGATACAACAGATATTCTTAATAGTTATTTCGCTTTCCTTTCATATAGTTGCGACTTATGCACAAACCACAAATTAATAATGACCTGAATAATGCAGAGAATTTCTGAAGGTATTAGCTAATGGTACATAAAGATCGTTAACCAATACCTGTTTTGAAATTGTGTTTACCTTGATTTTTATCTCGATAATAACACTCAAACTTGCTTCAAAATAGCTTATCAAAAAATTTAATTTTGATACAATAAAAATTGGGCATAATAATAATAATCGAGTTTATTGAGATAAATCAATAAACAATGCTTAAAGTAAGTCTTTGTCAAAGGACTATTAAATTATTATTAACATATTAAGCCTAAGTTAGTCTATACAATTCAAGGAAACAAGATGGATAAAAGAAGGAGAAGTGGTTTAAAGTTGTTAGGAATATTGTTATAAATTTTGAGCTTGGAACGAAAACCATTTTTGAAGGGTGGAATCGAATATTACGATTATGTGGGGTTCGGGATATTAATTTATTTTTTAATAATGGAATTATGAAATTATACAGTGTGTCCGCGAATGGGTTGCCCAAGTTCACAAAATCTATTTTATTCATTTTACGACCAAAAATATCATCCTTTCTAAAAAGTTGGGTTTGTTGAGAAAATGAATGCACAATGAAACATGTTAAATCAGATTTACGGGGTGTTAAAAAATTAGGAAAATATGGAAATTATAAAAGTTGCCTTTAAATTAGTATACAGACAAAATTAAAATATCCAAATAACAATTGCAATATTCAGTTCGTGGATTGCCTCTTCTAGGCGCTTTTTAATATTTTCCTATTATGTGCAAGATTACATGAGTAAACGTTTTGTTTTAAGGCACACCATAAAAAAGATGTCCACATTCCGCCAAAAAGACCATTTAACCATTGTTTGATCAATGCTGTGCAATGAGCAGGGCAGCCGTCTTGTCACTAAAACATAGTATTACGTACTCTAAAATATGTAAGACAAAATTTTCCTAAATGTTTTCGTAACGGTAACCTAGTTTGTAATTAGGATTGTCGTAAGCCCAATGACTGTCCATTTGCAAAAAATGTAGATGAATAGGTAAAAAAAATAAATCTATGAAACTATCCATAAACATAACTTTAACCATCTTTCTTCATCTCCAGATTCTAGTGTATCCGCACCTTTGGCTTAAAGCTTCTATTCACTTTTTTTGAGATCGCTATCCATGGACACACTGTATTTTTTTTTCAAAAATGAAACAAACAAAAAAGAATATTTTTTTCAAAACTTAAATATAAAGCTAAAAATTTTAAAAATTTAGTTTTATATATTTTTGAGATGCTCTTGACTAATGTTTTTTCCAAAAATTTATAGAGTTGCCCATTAAAAAATATAAGTTTGGGTAATTCTTCGAAAAAAACCAACCCACTTTTTATTTTTCTCATAAATTGCGCGGCATCTTTTGTTTTTCAAAAAAGTAACACAGTGTCGTGAAAACCGCATCCCTCTTTACTAACAAGATTGCTTTCGAAAAATCTGGCTGGGCAGGGCAAGTTCGTTGGATGGAGCTTCGCGATATCTTGTCTTAAAGGGACGCATTGTCTTTCTATCGTGCTCCTACGGAGCACTATGGAACTTTTATATTGTGTACACCCTGTATAAAGTCTCTTTTACTTATCGCCGAATTTCAAAGTTACGACAAACTTTGATAAATATAAAAAATTGTACAAGTAATAATGATTTCCAATTATAATAATAATTATATAAATGGAAATTTTCAGGGTCTGCTCGATTTTTTACCCATAATTGACACACCCTGTACATAATTGAAAAAAATCCGCAAATCGAAGTTATAGACCTGGATCTTCCACGTTTCCTGGTCCAAGAATTTACCCTCTTGACTGAGCCCCCGAAATAGCGATTTTAAAATGAATTTTTTCATATATCTCGAGCAGCGTATGTGATACAAAAATTGTAGCTCTTGTGCGGCCTATGACACTGTTTAAACCGACTAGCCAGATTTTTTACAATTTTTGATTTGCGGTTAATAATTTACTCTATAAAAGAACAATTTTCTAGGTCTTTTAGATTTTTGCCTTTAATTTGAAAACCTTGTATATAATCGAAAAAATGCCTGAAATAAATGTTATTGCAGTGGATTTTCCGCGCTTGTTGGTTAAAGAATTTTGCCGATCGGTTATGGAGGACAACATATATTTCTAGAAGCCAAAATTACAAGAAAAAATTTCAAAAAAATTAAAAAAATACTGGGTTAAATTTGATTGCACCCAATTTCCACTGTTTAAATTTAGGATAATTAACACATTTCTCATTTTGCACGGAATATCGGGAACACCCCGTACAATAGGTGAAAACCTTAAATACAAAAGTTTTAGCTGTCTATGCGGGCTATATCGCAATGTAAAAGAAGGTGACATCTAAATCATAGTATTTCAGTTATAACCAATTTTCAATAAAAGGGGGACCCTTTTTCCGGAGAACGGAGAACGGACAAACACACACAAAAAAAATTTTTTTTGGCGGTGATCATTTCTGTACCGACGGCGATCTCATAGGACCTACCGTTCGATTCGAAAGTAAAACTGGACACTGGAATACTGGATTTGGCAAAGTAAAGTTCTCGCCTTTTGTTATTCTCATATCGTACCAACTAATCATTTTTCAGGGCGGCAAAATCTCGTCAGTCGACATATTGCATTGCATTGCATGTTGTCTACTCTCGTTCGGCAAATATTAATTTACCAGATAAAAATCTCGCGTTACCTAATATTCAGACAATGATTGACTATCTTTACTTCGCCGGCAACTTTAAAATGTAGGTCTCCCATCTGAACGAGCGCACAGGTGTAAGAATGTTGCTGTGCTTGTATAGCCGGAGGCCTGTTCGAACAGTTTCTACTGCCAAACGGAGAAAACGTCACTCGTAAAGCAAGGTACTTCAAATATTTGCTTCGGTAGTTTAAGATTTCTTTTTTAGGTAGTTTTGGTAGGCACCTAATTCATATTTACAATTTATGCTGCAAATTTTGTACAGAAAGGAAAGGTTTATCTAAAAAATTTACATTTCATATAGATTGGCAAATAATTTTCATTTTTCATTTTATTATTAATTATATTATATTAATAAAATATTAAAAATTAAATATATATAAAGAATATCATTTTTTTAAACCTCTTGATAAAAAATACCTCAGCGTCAGTTTTAAAATAGCAATAATTAAATTATTTATTAATGGGGCAATAAATAAATCCCCAGATTTTTCATTTCTTATTTATTTTGGAAGGTGAATAAATGAAAGTTAACTTTTATATGTACACTTCGCATCACGTCACCGGGAACGTCGATGTAATATAGCAACTAACATAAATTTGAAAATTTTTCGTTATATTGTAATCAGTGGGTCTTCCCAGCGCGATATTTTTACGATGTCAGCATTACAACATTACAAAAAATTATGGTGAAAGCCGAAAATAATTTTGAATCATTAGGTTGAGTGAATACTCCAAAAAATCCAAATTAAAGATCTCACTATTAAAGTTCGTTTAATTTAACAATAGCATTTGTCAAAATTGGTTAGCCCAATCAAAGGTTACACCTTAGACGCCAATCTGCAAATAACTTAAAAACTTTTATTTAATAACAACAAATTGACATTTTTAAAATTTTAATTGATTTATTGTTTGCATTCGCTTCAATTAATGAAAAATGCTCAAAACAACATTTTTTTTGTATTTATTTATATTTACTTATATTGTGCATTAGGTCACCGTTGAGAACCTAATGGGGTCGATATTATTACTGGAATTCCCCGAATCGCCAAGTCTCGTATTGGGGATATTCCGTGAAGAGAGTTATAGGTAAGTTTGGCATCACAAACGCATAATAATTTATTATAAAATACATATTATTATTAAATAGCGATAGATTATAAGATATTACTTAAATACTTTTTTACCTAGTTAATTAAAAGTAATCAATTGATCAGTCGATTAAGAAGTGGTCAATTGACCTGTCTTAACACTATGAATATGCCTAGAAGCCAATAATTTTTTTTTTCCAGAAGACCTTTCTATTAATAGTAATGGAAGGTTATCTCGAACTCAGAAAGACAAGAAAACTACAGGGTGCTTCAAAATCGTAGGCGGTGATTCTTTGTTTAAAGAGTCAAGCCAACCGTTTTGTTTTTATTTGAAAAACGAAAATAGGACAACAAAACATGACGAAAGTAGTACTTTTACAAAAATACACTTCCTGCATTTTTTTAAGCCTTTTGAATTGAGTGTAGGGAATTTAATTTGACTACTACTGTTTTACTCATTTTAAGGAAAATTTATTTTATGTAATATTTATAAACTTTTGTCTCCTGCAATTTTTTCATAATGCCAACAGTATTCGAGAAAAAAAAATCTATTAAAAGCAATGTATAACCTCTGTGTTTCTTATTATTGCTTTATTTGACTATTGATAAATTTTATGGATTCCTCCTTTGTCGAACTTGCTGACGAATCGATTTATTGTTTATAATGGTATTGTGTACTCCTGGCATCTGAAATGGAATTTTGTTTTTGACGGAGATGTTGTGAGATTTTTGGATAATTGGTAAAACTGGTTTTAACGTTATATTTCTTAAGAACATTTGATATGTGGTCAGTGATGCGTTGAATGTAAGAAAGTGGCAGGTGTGGGGTTGCTTTCGTTCTTATTTTCATTGGAAGGTGGTGAAGTGTATTATGTGATAGATTGCTTAATATCTCTAATGCGGAGTTTATTCGAGAGAAGATCGGGTGTAAGGTGTTCTGATCCTGCCTATAGT